TAGTTAGCACATTTGAGTAAGGGTGGAGAAGTTGGAGTTGAGGTGGCGTTATTTGTCACTGACGGAGCTGGTCATGTAGTGACCGAACTTCGGCATTGGGTGCATCCGGTCATCAGGGCAGTGAGGCGCGTTGTCGGTCTATCGACCGGACGCTAAACAGTAAAAGTGACCGGACACGTAGGGCCTACGTCCGGTCAGGTGGTGACATACGTTGACATGAGCTTCTTCGCCCACTAGAGAGGACTAGACTTGGAGCTGACGCGTCCGATCATGGAAATCACTCTCTGGAGTCTGGACCCTTTTAGAAACGACCTGACGTGAGGTGGCGCGCGTTAGGTGTACTAACTGGTGCATCCGATCAGCTCTTTGAGGCTCAGTGCGCGTGGGGGGCTGGCACGGCATCGGCTCGTCCGGTCGTCACTTAAAGCATGTGGGTGCGGCTACTAGCCGTTGGCATCGTGTGGTTAACGTTCGAACCCAGGGACACGTGGCTTAAATCCGTGGACCGGACGCTAAGGCTCAAAGTCTGGTCAGATCGGCCGATGCGTTTGGTCACCCCAAGTAGGGCTCTGTGATGAGTCCAACTGCTCTTTTCGAAGGGGCTCTCTATTTAAGGTGTTTGGCCAGCTCTAGCTCACTCTCTTGGCCACTCATCTCTATCATTTCCATCATTGATTCATCATCTTTGTGAGATTTGAAGAGAATCCAAGTGTATTGCTTGAGTGATTGCATCTAGAGGCACTTGGTGATTGTGTTTCACTGCGGGATTCGCTTGTTTCTCTTGGTGGTTGCCACCACCTAGATGGCTTGGTGTAGCGAGGATCATTGAGAGGAGGAAGGTGATTGTCTCTGGCTCTCAGGGTGGGCGTTCGGTTCGGTTCCCTTGGTTATTGATGAAATTTGGTTCCTAGAAAATGAGAACCGATCGGATCCAAAAATTTTAGGAACCGATCATTTTGGTTCTCGGTTATTTTGGTTTGGTTTCCGTTCTAACCGAATTAATTGAATTTTTTAGAAGACCTCAAGACAACAATAAATATACGTGTTCTAAGGCAAATTTATGCAACACTATATTCATTTTTAATAATAGTAATGTATAAGAAAACAATAGGATTATAGTAACACAAATATATAGCCGTTCAAATGTAAAACACTACACATAAACCAAACATAATCTTACAAAATACAAGTAAGTGTAGTATAATTCATGTAATTCGGTTCTTTCGGTTAATTCGGTTAACCGAGAGTAGAAACCTAATTTTTTTGGTTATTTCGGTTCCTTAATATCATGAACCGAATAAGGAACTGAATTTTTCGGTTCAGGTTCTTTGGGTTTCGGTTTCGGTTCTTTCGGTTCGGTTTTTGGTTCTCGGTTAAATTTGCCTAGGGCTATCCGGCTCCAATTGTGGTGATTGTGAGGTGTTCTTGACCTTTCCCGGCGAAGAGCCAAAAGATACTCTAGTGGATTACTCGTAGCTTGTGGATCCTCATCTTATGTTGGTTGTGCGGCACCCGATTGCGGGTTAGGTGTGTGATGTGTATTAGCGCGTGAACCTCCAAGTGAGTGAATCGTCAAACGGGAACTAGCTTACCGGCAAACAAGTGAACCTCGATGAAAAATCTTATGTCATCATTGTCTTAGAGAATTTCTATTGTGATTGATTGATTGTCACTTGCCACGGCGGTATATCTTCACTACCTCACTCTTGTATTTATATTTCTAGTGTAGCTATGCTCTTTAGTGTAATTAGTTTTGAGAGCTAGCTTGTGTCTTTGTCTAGTGGTTAGTGAGGCTCTTTAGTTAGTCTTTGAGAGCTCACTAACTTAGTGGTAGTCACATAGCCTCTTGTGTGTGAAATAGAGATCATAGCAACTAGAATTATGGATAGGAGGCTTGCTTTTTTAGTAGGCTAGCGCAACACTTACTTCGCCGTTTAATTGACTAACCACTTGGCTTAAGTGTTGTTGTAGAAATTTTTATAAACTATTCACCCCCCCTCTAGGCATTAGGATCTTTCACTTCTCAAACCAAGCACACACAAGGGCAACACATCCCCAAGATGCTCAACCTCAGCCAAGCCCGAGCTCCACCTCTATTTATAGCCCCAAGCCAAATAGAACCGTTGGAGTCTTGGAACATATTTCTGCGTGGTCACTGGACAGCAATGTGTGGAACAGGACAAGGGGTGGTAATGCCCCAACGGTCCAAATGCAACGGCTACTTTGAACTAGCTATTGAGCAAAGTGGCACCAGACAACAGAGGGTAGTGCACCGCCCTAGGGGAGGCGGTGCCCCCGCAGCACCCAGACAGTCCGATGACCATGGCAGTGCCACCTTCAGTTCAAACTTGATTTCCACCACCTCAAGCTTGTAGAGCATTTCATTAGCTTTCGAAAAGTCCTATATCATCGAAATCGGAGTTCGGAGCTAAGAGTTATGCCCAAAATACGAAATGATGGTGTTGTTGAAATGGGCACGTTGCAGGGGTGGCGGTGCACCGTGCAAGGGGTGGCTGTGCACCGCCCTAGGGTGTCTGGTGCACCGGACTGGGCTACGCGTTAGCTACAAGTTTAGTTGTGTTTTTCGACCTTCGGATAACTCAAACTTGCGCTTTTCTTCTCCTTTTCTTCCACAACTTCACCAAATTGATCCAAATCAACTCCAACAACTCATCCTTTACAAATATGCCAACACCACCAAGTGTCCACCATCTTTTGCATGTGTGTTAGCTTTTCATAGACATTTTTCAAAGGATTAGCACTCAATTCACCATGCCACTCGATCTTAGCAACGATGCAAAGTTGAATCACTTGAGTGGCACTAGATGACCGATATGCAAACAAGTTTACCCCTCTTAATAGTACGGCCATCTATCATAAACCCGATCATAAATTTCTCTACACACCTACAATCGGTGAAATAAAATGTCCTATAGGTTATAACTTTGCCTTACGCATTCCATTTCATCTCCTCCAATATTGATGCAACACATGCACCAACCATATCATAAATGATATGATCCACTTCATATCATCACGTGACCTTATTGGTTCATCGATCTTGACCTCACTTGGTTTTCACCGTTGCCTTCGTCCATCGACACCAAGTCTTGCTCAAGCTTCACCGCACGCGATCCATCTCTTCACAGCCTCCAACTTGCCCCTCACGCTTGCAACCGAAGCCAAGTCTTGTCTTGATCTTCTCCACCTTAGTCACATGACTCAATATCATGTCTCATATGTAATGAACTCCTTCAATACATGTGCGAGCCTTACAATAAATCCAAGTAATCTTCACCGTCATGGTATGAGTTGCTCACACAAGTATACTTATAAACTAATCACCTATGTATACTTATAAACTAATCATCTATGTATCTTATATTTAAACACATTAGTTCACATATATTATCCCTCGATTACTCAAACCAAATAAAACGCGGGCCGAGCTCCCAACCACGTCGAGACAAACAAACAACCCATGTTGCGTCTTAAGGACGCAGTGGCCTAGTTGATCCAGACAAATAAATGCGACCAAGGGCCTTATTTAGATTTCAAGTTTTTTCACGCTCTCTCCATCACATCAAATCTTTAGACACATGCATGAAGTATTAAATGTAGATAAAAAAATAACTAATTACACAGTTTGATTGTAAATTACGAGACGAATCTTTTAAGCCTAGTTAGGCCATGATTAGACAATAATTGTTAAATACAAACGAAAGTGCTATAGTGTCAAATACTGATTTCTAACCACGAACTAAATAAGGCCCAATGAGGTGAAACCAGAACGAGAGGGAGAGGGACTGGGTGGGGGTCAAAGCGGGTGTACAAGGAGGAGTGGCTCCGTACTTGTACATCCATCCATCCCTGTCCGGTTGTCGTTGTCGTTGTCGTTGCCGTCGTGCATTACAGCACGTCAGCACCCCGGCGTGCAAAGCCAGGATATCGTAGCACGTTTCATTTGTATTTGATAAACTTTGTTCGATCATGGACATTTCCAATCATCTAAAGTTGCATGCTTTAAAGATTTGTCTCAAAGGTAAATTTACCACCAAACTAAATAATTATTTTATTATCTGCTTATTTTTACCTATATTTAATGCTCCATAATATGTGTCTAAAAATTAATGTGATGGATTCAATCAAAAAATTTAAGAAATGGAATCACGATTTGAGGCTAACACTCAGCCTAAGGCCTTGTTTAGATTGCCTCAAAATTCCAAGTTTTTTCACTCTCTCTTCATCACATCAATTTTTGGACGTATGCATGGAGCATTAAATGTAGGTAAAAAAAAACTAATTATACAGTTTGGTTGTAAATCACGAGACGAATCTTTTGAGCCTAGTTAGTCTATGATCGGACAAAATTTGTCAAATATAAATAAAACATGCTACAGTATCCAGATTACAAAATTTTAGGATCTAAACACGGCCTTGGCTCAATTTGGTGTCAGGCCGCGGTTCATCCATCGGTCCGCGTATCCAACGGGCAAACCACTGCAAATTGGAAAATCTTCATATTCTTGTGTGGGGAGTTCTGCATTACTGTATGGTTTCTATTGTATACAGAAGTCATATATAAATGGATGGTTTTTTAAATAATTATTTTTCAAATCACGTGTCTTCTTCCTTTTTATCATCTACTAGTAGCTGACACACCACTCCATAACTTTATTCTGGTATGGACATATTTTTGTTGTCTAAAAATTCATTTCCCTATCTCTTCTTTAAATTCTAATATTATATCACTATTTTACTTAATATAATAATTAATTTAAACACGAAACAATTCTAGGTTTTGGGTTAGAAGTGTCCTTAGCGACCGTTTGGCATGGCTCCCAGCTGCATTGGTTCTGACACGGTCAATTACTGAACTTATATGCTATAGAACCCGATGGGCAAGGATACGGGCACCACTTCTTGCCCTGCCTGTGGCACGCTAGTAATGCCTAGTGGCATCATTTTGCGGTGGTCATCCGGTGGAGTTGAAACTTGCACTATCCACGAACCCAGAGGATAGTTCTTCGCGGGCAAAGAAATTTGCTATCCTCATTCAGCTTCTGGCTGCGCTCCGTACCCGCTCCCTGTAGGTCTAACATCCGCATGGGACCTACAAGCAAATATATGACTTATATATACACGATTTGTTGTGAATATGTATCTTCATATCTCTTGTAATGCACTATGGTTTATGTATATACTCAACTTTGGCATATATGAACACAGGGAATGCCGTATATCAAAACAAGCGCGGATGGAGGGCCTTGGCATGGTTTGTTTCCGTTCGTTTTCGTCGCTAACGCCGGTCCTCGCAGCGCCGGTACCTGCGTGCGCGGCAAGAGATTTCGGCGGCCCACACGTCAATTTGACATAAGAAGGTAGTAGATCGGTGCCGGGCATCACGAGCAGCTGTCATCTTTAGTGGAGTAGCCGGTGGTGAGTTGTGAATTCCTGAGGGCACCCACAGTGTTCGAGTCGACTCTCTCGTTCTCCAGTGGTGGTCGACTCATCGTGATATGATTCCGAATAAAAAAACCCCTTTGGCTTTTGGACCCGGCCCACGCGCGCGAGTTGGTTGAAGTTTCTGTTCCCTTCATCCCGTCTCCTTTCCGCATCGCTCTTCACGAGCAGGCAAGGGCGGCGCATCCAGATCTCGTAATTCCATCGATTCACCGCCGCCCGCTACTCCTCCGTTGCGCTACTCCCCTTCCACTTAATCCGGCGCACCTCACCTCCCGTCGTTGCCTCATCCCTCTGCCATCTGTGCGTGTTGGGCCTCAGTGGACTCCAGCGGCCGGCCACCCGTTGTATGAGGTTCGCTAGGTGCTCGGGGCTCGGCGCGCGGGTGACCCGTCCGCGGCGGCGCGGCGAGGCGCGGAATGCCAGCGGAGGGCTGCTTCAAGGAGCAGCTCCATGTCGCGGTAGGCTGCCTACATGGAGGCCGATTTACTAGGTTCGATTTATGCATGCGTACCAAGCCTTTGACTTTTACAGTAGCAATCTTGGATTATTTGTTTCTTTTCTAAAATATTGGATCTGATCTATTGTTGGGTATGGAAAAAATGGTTAATGGAAACTAAATGGGGCAGTACGATTTATTTTGCATCTTATGAACAATGCGTACACAATAAGATTGAAAGGATAAATTGGGATTACAAAAAAAAAACACTAGAAAAATGTCCTACACGAACATAGATTATTCTAAGACAGACTAATCAGTATCCTGATGTTGATTACTTCCAAATCTTTGCCATATATGCTCTGTCAAGTAAGCCTTTTGGCGACGATGCATAGACCTGTCATGAATAGCTGTGTTTATCTCGAGCATCATAGCAAACTCATTAATGGGCCCGTGACAGTAATTGACCAAGGCAGTGGAGTTGGTTTGATCATAGACGTGATCATTGCAAGCCCCATAAGAATCCCGTTCATCCTCTATGATCATGTTGTGCAATATAATACAAGCATACATGATCTGAGAAAGTGCTTCCCTAGTCCACATACGAGCTGGGTTACGTACAATAGCAAAACGAGCTTGTAAGACACCAAATGCGCACTCCACATCTTTTCTTACTTCCGCCTGTTTGATGGCAAAAAGTTTATTCTTCTCACTTAAAGGCTTAGGTAATGATTTCACAAAGGTCGCCCATGTTGTACTCATTGCCATTAACCATAAACTGAACTTCTCTCCCTTGCAACATTTCTGTGAATATTGTTCATTGATTCAACACATTAATATCATTGTTTGATCCTGCAGTATCAAAAAAAGGCATGCCATATCCAGAGGTCATGGGAAGCAACGGCTTCTAGCATGACGGTGGCCTTTTTATAATCACCACGAGTGAATTGCCCCTTCCATGCCACTGGGCAATTCTTCCACTGCCGATGCATACAATGTAGGCTTCCTATCATTCCCGGAAAACCTCGAGCTTCCCCCACTCGAAGCAATCTCTGAATGTCATCTATGTTAGGCCTTCTAAGGTATTTCTCAGCATATAAGGCTAACTCCTTCACAGAATTTATTCAAGCATTCAATGATTGTAGTTTCAGCAATTCTCAAATTTTCGTCCCACATGTCCGCACAAGTTCCATATGTCAACATCCGTATAGCAACTGTGCATTTATGCAAAGGTGAGAAGCCTAACTTACCAGTAGCATCACTTCTTTGCTGAAAGTAAGGTGACCACTCACTGAGCGCTTGCACAGTTTGAAGGAACAGATGGCGTCTCATTTGGTACCTCCGCCTAAACTGCTCATCAGTATACACTGGATTGGTGGAGAAGTAGTCTCTAATCAACCGATTCTGACCAGCTTCACAATCTCTCACAATGTACCTTCGAGAAAGCCTTTGATGTTGACTCGATTCACCTCTCTCTTGCTTTTCTATTTGAGCTGCAATCTGTGCTGCAATCTTTTCTTCAATTGGATCATTGATAAATTCCCAAATGGCCTCAATAGGGGGAATATGGGGAAGAGCATGAGAAGGGCTAGATGACTCTTCTGAAGAGTTGGAATGGGAGTCTGAATCTGAGTCCATTTGTGTGGCTAAATATTGGTGCAGGGTGGGGTGGGATAGGGGACTTGTGTCTAGTAGAGGTAGCATGTATCTTTTATAGTGGTACAGAGCACAACCACCAGTAATAGAAGCAAGTCCAACGGCTAGTTTTTAACAGATACTTCCCAACAGCTAGTTTTTAACAGCTACTTCACAACTTTCTAGACAATAAAAGCTGGGCTGACATCTGACATTTTTTCCTGCAGGGCATTGTGTGCTTCGTGTCTTGTGTTTTTAACAGTCCACAGAACAGAGGTAAACAAACTGCCATTACTTTAAATTAGAGAAGATACAATGGCACAATGCCATAACTAATAACTAGACAAGATACATTAACTAATAATTAGAGAAGATACAATGGCACAATGCCATAACTAATAAGTAGACAAGATACAATACAGAAGATACATGCATAACTACTAGGTAAACTACAGAGTTCATCTAAGATTCATCTGCAGGAAATAATTCCTTAGTTAAGCGTTTCAACATAATGTCATGCCAGCCTTTTGTTCAGCACTAAAATTTGCAGTATCGACAGTGACTAGCTTTAGGTATTTGTTCAATTTCTTGTCCCTTGTCTTCTCTTCATTTGCTGCAGCTTGCTTAGCAATGGCTTTAGCATGCTCACTTGTTGCTTCAGCCATTTTTTCAATTGCTTGTAACTTCTTCAGCTGGAAATCATTGAAAGAGTTCACTATATCATTTGATAGGTAGCCTTCTGAACAATGTGATAATACTTCCCTTTCCCTTTTTTTGTGCTTTTGCTGCCTTCTGGCCAATAGGGCGACGATGTACTTCAGCACTAGCTTCGTCCGTATCTAGATTTGAAGAAGAGGTGTAAGCTCCAGATGCATTTAACTTTGTCCTTTTATTCTCTATTGATGGGTACACTCTCTCCCATTTAGGCTGCCCCTTCACCTCTCTCCACCAATATTCCAATAGGAATGGCTTGTCTGAATTTTCATTGCTGAAAACTGCATGAGCTCTCACCATTATTTGATCATCTGATTCACCACTAGCATGTGTATTTTTCATTCTGTTCCAACAATGATTGAACTTCATCACTATAGGATATCTATTCCAGTGATTTTTCAACACGGCCGCTGATCTTCGCTCTTCTTTAGGTGAATGCTTGTTGTATTCTTTGGCGACATCTTTCCAATAGTGATCATATTTCTTGTCAACGCCTTGTATTGGATCATTGGAGTTGTTGAGCCATGCACGTACTAGCCTTAGGTTCATAGGTTTACTCCACGATCTGCACCCAGATTTTTTATTTTCTTCCTCTGGACTGCTCTCACTTTGCTCTTCATTGATAGCAGGAACCCCATGTGATGGCTGTGGAACAGAAATGGGAGACTCAGATTCATCAGCACGTGAACCACTACCACCGATGCCTCCAAACAAGCCACCTGATCCAACCGGAGATGATGGATCACCGGCCGTAGCAGCTCTGAAACTTCCTTGCTAGAACTGCATCAAACCTTCATGGTAAGGAGTACCATGGTAGCTTGATGTTCCACGAAACTGTTGAAATCCTAGTTGAACCCCAAAAGGATTGAAATGATGTGGATAATGGGACTGAATGGGTCTATATGGTGGTGGTCGAAAATCATGGTCGAAATGAGGTGGAGGGAAATTTGGATATTGCTGGTTGTAGCCACTTTGTGGTCCTTGAAATTCTGGGCTTGAGGTTGAAGAGTTCAACAAATTTGTGAAGCCACCAGTAGAAGATGGGTCCATGCTTGTGTTCTCTGAAATGGAGAGGAGAGTTTATTTGTATATCTGTTTGTGTTTTGTGAAATGGGGAGGGAGCGAGTGTATTTTGTGGAGTTACTCGTGCAGGTTCATATATAGAGCAATGAACAACGGCTAGCTAGTTGGGTTAAGTAACGGTTGGGTGGTTGGCCGTTGTTGTACACTTGTACTGTATCAAAATATTTGTTTATTCTCCATGAATCGGCTCAAGATTTTGAATCGGTTCCTGACATCTTTCAAGAGTCGGTGGTACTCCAGTGGTGATGAGTCGACTCATGGGCTGCCACCTCAGCCCATGAGTCGGTTTTCCACGGGCCACTGGAGAAGCCAGCCTGATCCCTGATGGATGAATAGAAGTGATTGAGGTGAGCTCTCTTCTCACTTCTGGAGGTGAGAGAAAGGACGGTGCAGACATGCTACACTGCTGTGTGTGCAGTAGAGGAGTGATTGGTCCTGTTCGGCTTGGCTGAAAAATACTGTTCTGTTTCGGCTGAAATGTTGTGAGAGAAAATACCGTTCCGGCTGAAAAAAGAAGTCGAACAAGCCGAATTTAAAGTAACCCGAACGGGGCGTGACCTCTTGACTTTTAACTGAACGCTGTTCCACCTGCAAAGAAATGATAGCGCTCCCAGTTGAAGAACGAAGAATCGTCCAGAACTCCAGATAAAACCGAGCAGATGTGGTAGTTCCAGGTTGAAATCCCCTTATTCGTTCAATTCAATTAATCTCCCGTCTTTGGGGGCGTCTATGATGGTTGAGCCTAAAATTAAATGAATCATTGAAAACAATAACCTAGTGTACACTCCAAATATAATTTCACACATTTCACAAGTCATTTCTATCTCACAGTATTTATCAACTTATAGCTAATACAAGCTTACTATCGAATATAATTTCACACATTTCACCTGGTTTGAGTTTTCTTGTTCAAAACTTTATACATAAAGGCAACGGCTCTTTTAGCGATAAGCTCTATACATCGCTGATATGGGCTAGACTTTGTAAAATTTCATGCATCGTTTAAATGAAAGTAAAGCCCTCTTAGGCGATTAACCTTAAAAAGGAAAAAAAAACTCACACAACCAATCCATCCACGCTCTATATATCCACCCTAGGAAGTTTATTAATAAAACCAAGTATTTAGCTATAAATCATGGTACAAGAGCTAAACTATATAATAGTTACCTCTTATTTTTTTTTTTATAATTTTTTATTATATTTACTCATGTTCTGCCTTTTTTCTAATCTTCTCTACATTTATTTGATATTTGTATCCACCATTAAATAGACTCTCGTGTTTAGCTTGTTGCTTGCATTGAAATAAATACAACAATGATATTATAGCTAAGCTAATGTTGATGTGGAGGGCAGAAGAATAAGACCTTACCTCTGAGAGCAAGTGTAATACTTGGCTTAGGCCGTCCTCAACAGCTAGCTATTTGGCTAGCTATTCTGACATGTATAGGGAAAAAGTAAGAGAGAGAGAGAGTAGTACGTCCCTAGCGACGAACAAATAGCTGATCTATTTCACGTAGTTCAAGAATCTGAGAAAGAAACATGTGAGTCCAATAGTATATAGAAAATAAAAATATATAAAATAGTATTTTCTTTTGTCTCTCACCTTCACGTAAGCTTGATGCGTAGCTAGCACCATTGCGGACGCCCTTATAGCCAAGCAAATGATGACACAGAGGAGAGAAAAGAGACAAGAGCTTTGCTCTCATACGAGCAAGCTTGGCACGGAAGCATATGTAGTGATTGGCCCATAAATAAGTGAATGTGAGAAGGATGAAGAATAGTCTTTTAACGTCTAGCTAGAAGCAAAAAAAAAAGTAGATTGGGCCTTGTTTAGATGCCATCCAAATTTCAAGTTTTTTCACTCTCTCTCCATCACATCAATTTTTAGCTACTTGCATGGAGTATTAAATGTAGGTAAAAAAAATAACTAATTACACAGTTTAGTTGGAAATCACGAGATGAATCTTTTGAGCCTAGTTGGTCCACGATTGGATAATATTTGCCAAATAAAACGAAAGTGGTACTATTTATCAGGTTAAAAAAATTTGCAAAGTGAACAAGGCATTGGTTCAACTTCCCGGATTGAACAATCAATCCGAAGGCACGTAGATTGTATAAGCTGGTTAGAAGCTAGGGCTGTTTTGATCTCCTAGGAAATTCTGGAAGCTAGCTTTCACAATCTGAAAGCATCCAAACATGCCCTTGATTCCATATTGTGTAATCTGGCTTCCAGAAGCTACCAGGTACTCCAAACAGCCCTAGCTCGTAATCACATTGATAATCTATGATCTGGCAAGCTGATCCAACCTAGCTTGTAGATGGTAAAAGACGAATCTACGCCTCTCAATTCATCGGCACAGGATCGTAAAAAACAAAAAGTAAGACCATTTTGGTAATTTACTCTATACAGCGCTATAAGCCAGCTTTTAGAAGTTAGCTTTTATAATCCAGCCTATAGGAATATATGAGTTTAAGAAGCTAGCTTCTCCAATCCGGGTGGATCCAAGCCCAGCCCAAGTACAGCAACTAGCACTCCACTGACGCACGCACGCCAAAGGCATCTGCCTCCGCCTAGCACTCTCCCAATCACGAACCGGAACAGAAGTGGTCGTTCCAAGGTGAAATTCACGGTCTTGGTAGTCGGGACGTCGGCCAGCAGGCATTCAAGGAAGCGTGTACGACTGGCGTTGCGGCCACCAATGCAGCCATCCATCCCTGGCGTCGTGCGCTACAGCACCCCAGCCGGCTAGTACGTTCAAGACGGGATCAGAGATCAGCCAGAGCGAGCAAAAGAGACAATACGATCGCGACGCGTCAATTTGTGTCAGGCGGCGGTTCATCCATCAATCCGCGCATCTCATGGGCAAACTACAGACAGCCTGTGTGCCAGGACTTATCAGCTATGATATAATATTTTTCTCTTACAATAGATTAGTATCAGTCGAACTTATCAATCAAAAAACCAACCAGCGAACGGGCTAAAAAAAAACTGCAACCCAATAGGCCTTCTATTTTGAACTTGGAGCTCGGGTGACATGGCGATTTTGCCTCACGACCCCTCAAGTTCAAGGGCTCCCAAGTTCAAACATGTACTTTTTTTTACGCCAAGCTTTGCTTTACATTGCATCTGTCATTTATTTTTGCCGTGATATCTGGCCAAATGAAACGAGAGAACGAAAAAAAACCACACGCTACATGTTTATTGCAGGCCCTTACCCACTCGTAGGAACCAAAGCTCAACCGGTGGTCCGATGGCGAGAGTAATAGCCTAGCGCCGTAGTGTTTAGGGAAGGCTTAAGCTTATTTCATATCTTTCTTGCCTTTGCCTAAGGTTGCCGCCAAGGCGTATTGTGAAAACTATCTCCTTCCTGATACAAAGGCGCTCAATCCTTTTCGCCACGATCACATGGGGATCACGGACGGACGAACCGACGAACGAACAACATGACATGCAGTACGTGCAGGAGACGCAGGTGACGCAGCTGGTTCAGGCGAACGAACACGGGCTGGTGGGTCGAACGAACGTTCAGGCGCGCGCATGCATGCAGCAGACGCAGGTGGAGGCCGACGCGGACGCAACACACGGGCGGCGTCACGTCGTAGCTAGGTCACTCGTGGCAGGCACCATGCCTACCGATGGATTGGTGGCAGGGCAGAGCTCGATCAACTTGGTCGATCTGCAGACTGCAGGCGCTGTTGCTGGATCGGGACCGACGCAAGCAGCACTAACAATGTGCGCACTGCTAGTAACTACACGTCTACACGTACGTGCTCTGTAGCTACTACGCCTACACACGAAGATGCATCACGGGGTGGAGCGGCAGATGCAATGGGGAACGAAGTGCTTGGCGAGCTGGGGCCGACGTGAACAGAACAGCAGTGCGTGCAGGTATAGCTTCGCCGGTGGCCAGGGCTCACCGAGGCCGTCGTCTGGTCTGCTCACCCATCTCGATCCATTATTTCATCCATCCATCCAGGATCCATCGACCGGCCGGACACCCAGGCAGCACAGCACCACCTGGCCGGAGCCGGCCTGTTGTCCTCTCGTCGGCCCCGGCCACTCCAGCCAGCCACGCACGCGGCACGCCCTCCCTGTCCTCCGATCGGGATCTCACGCTCTCGACGACCGGTCACGGGTCACCCATGGCGGCATGGCGCCGACGGCTACTGGCTCCTCCTGCTCCGATCCCACGTCGGAATGAAGCGCTGTAGCGTCGATCCAACTCGGCGCGCACCACACTTCCGTCGCCAACGTACGTGCCGCTTCTGCCTGCCGAGATTGATGAGTCCCGGATCGTTCGGAAAATTCGGAGAGGGAAAAAAGCCTCCTTTTCAGGATCTGGCGTACGTGGCCGTGCACGGACCACTACTGGAAATGCGTGCTTTGTCGAGGGACCTGAAGATTTGCCGAGGGCCAAATCTGGGCACTCGGCAAAGACATTCTTTGCCGAGGGCCAGACACAGGAGCCCTCGGCAAAGAACGGCCCTCGGCAAAGAGGCCTTTGCCGAGGGTACGGCCCTCGGCAAGGCCCTCGGCAAATCAAATCTTTGCCGAGGGCCGCAAAGATGTCCTCGGCAAATTAGGTCCGTTGGGTCACGGCGGCCATTTCCCGTCAAGCTTTGCCGAGGGCCACCCGTTAGGCCCTCGGCAAAGGTTTTTTTCCTATGCAACCAGGTTATTCGGCAATTTTTTTTAAGTCTTTGCCGAGGATCCTAGACCAGGTCCTCGGCAAAGATTTTTTTTAAACCAGTTTTTTGGCAATTTTTTTTTGTTTATAAATCACCTTTGCCGAGGGCCCGAGGCTAGGCCCTCGGCAAAGAAGCCCTTTGCCGAGGGCCAGGATAGGCCCTCGGCAAAGATTTTTTATTTATTTTTTAATTCTTTGCCGAGGGCCATGGGGCAGGCCCTCGGCAAAGAGCCCTCGGCAATTTTTTTTTGGTTTTTTTAGCCCAGTTTTTTTGTGGTG